GGATGAGTGATACATATAGGAGGGGAAAAGCAATTGTGAAATACTTTATTAACCACACTCATGCCTTGTCGATGTTTCGTGAAAATTCAAAACTAGATTTATTAAAGGTGGCTACAACTCGGTTTGCTTCAGACTATATTCTTTTAAAAAGAATTATGGAGTGTAGGGAGGCTCTTGCCACAACTATAGTCCTTAATTCTTGGAGATATTGGGTTAAATGTGGGGATGAAAATACGAGAATTAATGGGGCAAAAGTATGTGATACAATTAAAGATGATTCATTTTGCGATGATGTTGAAAGCGTTTTGGCTATCACTAAACCCATCTTTCTTCTTATAAAGTTTTGTGATGGTGAAGGCCCTAAAATGGGTGAGATTTATGAGAGGATGGATAATATGATGGGGGGAAATCAAAGACATAATGCAAGAAAGTACTTATGCTAGCTATTATGAACAAGTGGATAAGATAATTTTAACTAGGTGGGAGAAGATGAGTATCCCACTACATTGTTTGGGGTTTGCATTAAACCCACGCTTTTATGATAGGCGATATCTTCAAAAAATGGCACACGGTGGTATGCAAAGGAAACCACCAAATCTTGACAAAGAGGTTATGCAAGGTGTCATGGAATCCTTCAATAGATTTTCTGAAAATGAAGAGGAGGGACGATTGTTACGATAGCAATTCGTAACATTTCATATGAAGAAAGGTATCTACTCTATGGCAGAAATACAAACGGATGCTTTGACAATGGATCCAATAGATTGGTGGTCAACCTATGGAGCCGAAACCCCGGATTTGGCCTTGTTGGCAAAGAAGGTACTTTCACAACCTATAAGTAGCTCTTCCGCAGAAAGGAATTGGAGTACTTATTCTTATATTCATAATGTGAAAAGAAACCGGTTGAATGAAAAAAGAGCCGATAAATTGGCTTACATTCACTCAAACATTCGACTCCTATCTCGTTTCCACGAATCATACAAATCCGGCCCACACAAAAAGTGGGACATCAATCCCGAAAGCACTTACATTGAAGGCTCGAGTTCACGATTAGATGACATGGTTTGGGAGTGCTTAGATGAAGAAGATTTGGAGAATGGACAAGGAAAAAAGCAGCGGGTTGATTGACATGTTACATTTCAGTTTTTGTTGGTTTACCCTTCCTATTTGTGTTTTTGAGTTATTACAAAACTGTTGCTGTTTAGAACTTTTGATTTCCAGCATGTAATATGTTTTAATTTCCAGCATGTAATCTTTACAATATGTGTATTTTGGTATTTTGAAATTCATGAAAAATGTTGCTGGAATTGAGTTTATAAAAATATATTGCTGGAATTTTGTTTCTAAATGAAATATATTGCTGGAATTATACTTCTAAATGAAATATGTTGCTGGAATTGTACTTCTAAATGAAATATGTTGCTAAATATGTGTTCTAAAAACAGGTACACCGTATCGGGACCAATGGTATGCCGTACCGGACACGTACCGAAATGAACCTACCCCCCTCGTACCCGATACGCCCAACCTCATGAATCTCGTTCCCGTTCCCTGTTCCCGTACCGGACCGTACCACGAACTATGTGACTATGGTTTCGACTAAAAAGGTTTTCGCATGATCGAGATATCATCTCTCAAATATATGGACAGATTAGGGTAAAATCTTGAAATCACAACTTTGTCTTTTTAGGGTTAATTTGACCTATTAACCCATTAAGACCTATCCAATGAGGCTTATAATCAGTAAAATGAGTTCATAACAGTAGATTACTTCATTGATATAGAATTCAATGAAAATCTCAACCCCTTTTCTTGAGATTTCTTGCATAAAACATCAAAATAAGTATAATGCCCTCATGGGAAGAATACCAACTAGGGTTTAAGGTTTGGAACCAAAACAACCCATGTCACCACTTAGCCCTTAAAACACCTTGGAGCATCACTACCCACTGCCATAGTGGCAGTGGTGGCTGGCGGTGACTGCCACCACCTTGGCGGTGGTGGTGGTGGTGAAGATTTCGTTTAAAGGTAGAAGAGAAAGAAGGAGAATAAGATTGCATGACTTACTTGAGAATGATGAATGTTTCTCCCTTGATGAAGATGTCGTAGCCTCCTTCCAACCTTCACTTTCGATGCTCCCTTCTTCTACACTCCCGTTCTTTCTTTTCTCCCTCCTCACTCACGGCTACACAAATAAAAACGGCACCCTCTTAACTTCATAGGGTTAGGCCGAAATTTTGAGGCTTAATAGTCCTTCAAGTTTGACATAACAGCTCATCTAACCCCAAAAACAATTCCATTGCACAATGGGTCCATAATTAGCCCTAATTACCCCACCCTATTAATATTTTTTTAATATAGTTAAATATACCAGAAATAATAAATAAAGTATAATAAATTCACGTACCATGAACCGGGGCGTTACACCAATCAAATTAATCTAATAGTCAAACTCAACTAGAAATCCTAAACATGCAAAACAATTTTACTCAAAAGCCTTAATGCATAACTTAATGGAGTATAAAGTTAGGGCTTAACAAAATAATAATCAAAATGTATAAAGCTTCATTTCATGTCTTAGCCTAGGACTTACCTGGACCAAAATACCACAACCACCAACCCATGGTGGCCTGTGGTGGCAGGAGTTGACTCACATTGGCGGTAGGAGGCTGCCAGTGGCGGTCCTTGGTGGTTTCACGGTGGAAAGAAGAAAAAGAGATGAGAAAAAGAGATGAATAATTACCCAATAGCTAGAATGAGACTGGAACACTCCTCCGGACACCCTTTTCCCTACAAGTAGCACCTTCGGTAACACCAAGTCCGATAGTACCCTCCTTCTAATCGCAACTGTCCTTCATGTTGACCCTTTTCTCGACCAGCAAATGAAAACACACATATAATTTGGTCCTGGATCGATTAGGGTTAGATTAGGGCTTATAAACGTGTTTCTTGAAATTGTGGGCTGCCAAAAATCCAATCCTGATCCTCCCTAATTTATCCAGTCGAGTATAACGAAGAAAAACCTCGATTTTTCAATTTAGACCCTGATTTTTCCCATAATGATGGAAAATACCCTCAAAACAAATTTATTTTCACAGAAGGTTTTCAAGTGTGACACTTTTAGCCCCTAATTCTTCATTATCTTCCATTATTGATTCATGGATGTTATTTCATCTTAACTATTATTATTATTAATATTATTATTATTATTATTATTATTATTATTATTATTATTATTATTATTATTATTATTTGTATTATTATTTTTTCTTTATTTATTATTTAGCCACTTAATATTTATCGGATCTTTTTTATTCGTTTTTATCACCGATAAAATTCCTTAAAACTATTCTCCTTAATTATATAATTATTAATTTAATTAACAATCGATTCCTGAATCACTTATCATAAAAAATAGAGCATTATAGGTTCATTTCCATTTCAATACATTTTCTATAAAAATAAGCCATGGTGACTTAAAATTGCATACTGGAAAATTCTATTGTATAATATTTATGGTTTTTATATTATAGTATAATAGATATGACCTATGATCTTGTAGCAAATTCTGTAGCGACATAGCTACGGATTTTGACTCCGTAACAAATGTCGTAGCAAGCTAGCTACGGACTTAGATGCGGTAACAAATTTTATAGCAAAATAGCTACAGATTTTGATTTCGTAACAATTTATGTAGCAAAGTAACTGCAAACTTTAATCTGTAGCAACAGTTGTAGCAAAATACCTACGCCTTATAATTCTGTAGCAAATTTCATAGCATGATAACTACGGACTCCGATTGCGTAGCAAAATTCTGTAGTTATTCAAATATTAGCTATAGAATGCAATTTTGTAGTTAATTCCGTAGCAAATATACCTACGTCTAACTAGTTTGTAGTATATTCCATAGTAGAATAGCTATGGTTTTTAATTCCGTAGCAAAATTCCGTAGTTATTCAAATATTACCCACGGAATGTAATTCTGTAGCAAGTTCCCTAGCAAAATAGCTACGACAAGCCATTCCGTAGCATAATCTGTAGCAGAATAACTACGAATTTTACTTTCGTAGAAAATTTCCGTAGTTATTTCAACTTTTTCTTGTAGTGGATGTTCATAAGCAGATGGACTAATATCCCTAATCTTTTGCATGTTCATGTTGAACTCCCCTTCAACAGTTGATTTTGCAGGAGCCCAGAATATATTTTTAAACTCCACACCACTATACACCTTTCTGAAGTTGGCATATATATGCCTGGCACATTGTCTGTGTTGTGCAAGTGGTAGGACTTCCTTTGTAGCCTCAAGAAGCTCCTATTCATAACAAAAACAGTTACATCAGATAAACTAAGTATGAAGTATATAGTAAAGAAATAGTAAAGTTTTTGTGAAGTACTTTGTGTTGATCAGAAATTACTACCATACCCCTTCCACCATCCAATTCTAAATCATTTGTTATCAATTCCAAGAACTATTTCCAGTTTAGCTTGTTTTCTATGTCAACTACAGCCCAGGCAATAGGATACACTTGATTATTTGCATCTCTCCCTATAGCAGTTAACAATTCTCCCTTGAAAACCTTACGGCAGCCAGCCTTCCATCCTTCTTTTATTGCCTTAAAACATATATATATTCTTTGGAAAGTAGTTGTGTTATCTTGGTTTTGACTCACAATAATTTTAATTGAACTACCTGGATTTGATCTCAACAGCTCACCACCATAATCCCACAATTTATCATAGTGGTCACTCAATCTCCCTTCTATCAAATACATGGCCCTACTCTTTTCTCTATAACACTTTGACCAGGACACATTGCAGTGGAATCTGTTTTGGATAATTACCTGCATTTCCTTACACTTCAACTTGGGCTTCCTAATCAGTTCTTTCAGAAACTGATTTCCTAACCATGTTGGACCCATAAAGTTGGTATTTCTGTAATTCCTAATACACCTATGTTTGTCAACAAGTTTCTTAATTTGAAACGACCTCTCCGTGTTCATCTACGAAGCCCTAACATTAAATGGACATTGAAATTTTTGTGAATCACTAACACATACAGCAACTAGCCTAACACTGTCACATTTCTTGAACTTTATCTTATAACCAATATAAATAGCATGGTTAGTTAAACATAACTTTAGTTGATGGGGTGATTCATACCTCTCTCCCAGAAGCGGTCTCATCTTGTTCCATTTAACCTTTGGATCATGGGTGTTGTACTCAAACTCAAGCTTAGAATCTTGGTCATTTTCACTTGATACTTCTTCATCAGACCCATATACTTCATCAGACCCACTTCCTTCTCGCATTAAGTCAAAATGATCTTCATTCTCCACCACATCATCTTCATTTAAGTCAACATTGTCGTCGATATGTTCAGTTTCAGGGATTGCAAAGTCATCACCTTCTTCACCAGCTATGTCGGGACACAAGTTGTTCAAGAACGCATCATTGCATCTCTTGGTTTGCTTCTTCAAATCCTTATCTACTTCAATATCAATAGTATCAAAATCCCAGACGTCTTCCATTTGCAAAGCTTGGAAGACTCGAATTCGTGCCCACTGTTGTCGTCTTCTTCATACGTAAAAAACCTTAATTTCTACAGAGAAGATATTACCATAACTGTGTGTGATTTACTGTTGAAGGAATAGGTGTCTGATTTGGTCGACTCACCTTCCACCTAATCACATTTAATGTCACATCGGTTTGTTACCGGTTGCAAGAGCGATAAACGGGTAAATTGGGTCAATTCGCCGGTTTATCCGGTATTTCATGCTTTTCCATTAACATTTAATAGTTTAGGACTTTTTCGTAAATGCAGGCAAAATAATAGGACTAAAATGGAGATTTCCATATTAAAAACAATAAAGATATATCTTATAAAAAAACAATAACAAAATGATCTTTTTGTAACGTCCCAAATTTCAAACCAAAATTTTCATTATAATCATGTAAATCTCATTCTCAAACAAGCAATAAACAATCATGACAAATCATGATCAAAACCAGAGTAATAATAAGATAATGAAATCAAAAAACCGTAAGTCTTCAAAATATGTCCATGAATGCGATGCAATTAAACATGCCCTTCCATTTGTTGTCAAAGCAACATGAAATCATTTAAACTTAAACAAGTAAGCACAAAGCTTAGTGAGTTCTCCAAAATACTACATACACATGTGAATGATATGATCTCATCATAGTTTTACACTCACTTCCATTGTTAGAGTCAAGGTTGTCAAGATCGGGATCTTACATAGGATCGTTTTTTGTTTTGCAAGATCATGATCATAAGATCGAATCGAATTGTAAGATCCTACCCAAAGCATTTTAATACATATAAAATACATTTTCACACATCTGCTAACCATTCGGTTAACAATAAATTGTTTAAAACATAAAAAAAAATACATATCTAATACATCATTAGTGATAAACAATTTCAAAATTGGTATTCTACGTAGTTGATCCATGAAAAAATATTAGAATTTTGTTTTAAAAAAATAGACATTATCCTATAATCTTACGGTTCGATCCTACGATCTTACCACGATCTTACCGAAAAACGATCCTAGTAAGATCGGGATCGATTTAACTAGTTAGGATTGTAGGATCGTACGATCAAGGTCGCGATTTTGGCAACCATGGTTATAGTCTCACTGTAGTCTTTCTTGCTATGATCTCACTATAGTCTTTCATACAAATGTTATGCCCCCACCGTAGTCTTTTGTATAAGTGTTATGGCCCCCACCATAGTCTTTCTTACAAGTGTTGTAACCCCATAATAGTCTTTCATACAAGTGTTATAGCCTCATCATAGTCTTTCATACAAAAAGTCACAAAAACAATCTATGTGACAACCGTCAATTTTTGGCCAAGTCAAAGTCAACTAAAGTCAACAAGTCAAACCGGTCAACTCATCTAACCCTTGTATATTAGGGTTTCCATTATGTTTCTTATTGAACAACTCTCAATCTTAATACAAAGTATCACTTAGAGTTTTCACGTGTTCGGAAATTCTAAACCCTAATCAGGACAAGTGATGAAACTATTCGATAAAACATTATTCCTTAACCCTCGGGGGCATATAACAATCATAACGAGGCTTAACATAGTGTAAGAACCTTGCGTTACGAAGCCAAACACTTAAAAAGATCGCAAACGAAGTCTCTCTAAACCTCTTTCACTCCATCTCTCACAAAATCTCTCTCTGTATGAGAAATCTCTCCAAGTATGTGAAATCTCTCCCAAATCTCTCCAAGTATGTGAAATCTCTCCCAAATCTCTCTCTGTATGAGAAATCTCTCCAAGTGTGTGAAATCTCTCCCAAATCTCTCCAAGTATGTGAAATCTCTCCCAAATCTCTCTCTGTATGAGAAATCTCTCCAAGTGTGTGAAATCTCTCCCAAATCTCTCCAAGTATGTGAAATCTCTCACAAATCTCTCTCTGTATGAGAAATCTCTCCAAGTATGTGAAATCTCTCCCAAATCTCTCCAAGTATGTGAAATCTCTCACAAATCTCTCTCTGTATGTCAAATCTCTCTCTGTATGTCAAATCTCTCCAAGTATGTCAAATCTCTCCCAAATCTCTCTCAAAATCTCTCTCAACTTCTTATAATCACTCGGAGCATCCCGACCCTCGAATTAGACGAAAACAGCTCAAAAACGGAAGTCTACGCGAAAAACAGCCTTAAGGAGCCGAAACCTCTTAAGGAGCCGAACCCTCTTAAGGAGTCGAACTTGTTAGAAGCGAAGGTGTCAGAAGCGAAACCTCTCGGACCGAAGCTCAGCAGACCGAACCGAACCTCGGACCTTCGGTCCCTCCCCCCTCGCACCTTCGGTCCTCTTCCCTACTCTCGGTTCCTTCCTTCTCTACTCTCGGTTCTCACTCCCTTAGAGCCGAACCTCGCAGGTTCGGTCCAGATTGCCGGTTTTTGACCCAAACTTCGTTTTAAGCTCGTTTTTCGTGATTTTAACGCGGGGTTTTCACTCAAACTCGTAATTTAACATAATAAACCCTAAATAATCATATTTTAACATATAGAACCCCATACTTCATAATTAATCACGTTTTTGGGGTATAATCTTTATCCAAGAAGAGTGGGTGGGATATTATTGGTGGAGTGTTGACTTTGCCTTAGTGTATGACACAAGCAACCACCCCATACCCACTCAATGACCAGCCCTTGTCCTTCCACCATACCTGGTAATTTCATTGTCATTTCCCACCATTTTTCCAGCCACACTCTTGGTCAAAGGCTAGAAACTCCCCTCTCTCCTCTATTTTCTCTCATTTTCCACCAAATAACAAACTTCATTCTCTCTCACTTTCTCTCTCTAAATTTCAAGATTCAAGGCTATTCTCCAAGCTTTTCTTCTACTTTTGGTAAGTATTATCATCCTTCATATGATTATTCCACCTCTTTCTATTCTAATCATAGGTTGCTTACACAAACTTCATCATATTTGTGTTAGTTCTTCGAATCTTCAAGCAATCTTCTAAGTGTTCTTGAGTTGAACACTTCTTTTCTTCATCATCCATCTACTGAAATCACTCAAGGTGAGTTCATACCCCTACATTTTCATGTTTTCTTCAAGTTTTAGGGGGGGGGGGGGGAATACAAGTTAAAACACCAAGAACACAACTAAACTCAAACAACAGCCTTCATCAGAAAAGTTGAGTCTTATTCACGGACTGTTTTTAATATCTTAAACTTAATATCTTTCAAAACTGTTTAATATACAAATAGTTCAGGTTCATACCTTTAAAATGACTACTTGCACATCTCCATACGATTTTTCTACGATTTATGGTGATTTTTACAAAACTGTCTATCATTTCAGAAACGAATTCGGACCAGTCTGTGAATATGAACATTTTAACACAAGTTAAAACTTCTAAAAATCATAATAAAAATTATGAATAAACTAGACACATTTTTTGTATTCTCAGAATTTACAGATTCAGTTTTCGACTTCGTATGATTTTTCTATGACTTTTCTAAAACAATGCTGAAAGGCTAAAACTAGTTAACATCCTATAACTTTCATAACACTTTGTATTATGTTGAGCAAAGTGTATAACAGTAAGTTCTAAATATTGAATGTATTTTCTTGTTAGTTTATCATCATAAACTGAAATTTAGTCATTCATGATAAGATTTACTCATTCATTTCAAACACATATAATAAACTTCAATAAGCATAGTTTATGGATTTTTACTACATGAAAAAGGTTTTACTCTCAAAACAAATGCGTTTTTCATATACTACCTGATAAACTATAATAGTAATAGTTTAAGGATTTCATATTACTAATTTATTCATAAAAGGTGATTTTACTTCCTCCACGGAAGAGGTTTTAATATCAAACTATGTGTAAACTAGTTAACTTAGGTTGTGAGGCAATTCTCTCCCCGTACGTTCGAGTACGGGATCCCAATTCCTGTAAGTTATAACCAGAGTCTCTTGTAGGGAGAGCATGATAATTGTGTATAGATCTATATTAGGATTGACACCCCACACCTCGCTGCTAGCTACAGCCGGACCGGCAGGTCTGCGGGTGACAAGAGTCATAGTATCTTAACGTCTGAAAAACGTTGTGCAGGTTATTTCTCGTCATAGTATGGTTATAGCGACTCACATAGGTAGTTAACAATCTTTCAAGTTTACAAAGAAAATTCTACTTTGAAAAGGGGTTTTATCTATTTAAAACTACAAATACGTTATGAGTACAAAACGCACACACATTCTCGGTCCTTGGATTTAGGACTACATAATTTTTATAAGGAAAATATTGGATTTTCTTTGGAAACATATTTCTGTTAAAACTACATTTCATCTAGAATTGTTAGACTTCAGCTATAATTGCTAAGTGTATATGCTAGAGTTATATAAGAATTCAGTCACAATCGACTTAGAATTGGTGGGCCCGCCTTATCTCCTGTTCCTTGTTTGGTTGTGGAACTAGGGCAGACCCATTATATTCAACGGTTTATTTAACTTAAATTTTATATAACTTATATACGCTGGGCGATTATGGAAGGAATCTATGGGTCCTTCTAGGATACATTATCGCATAACATAGGAGCATTCATTTCACACTTAATAAAGAAAATATTGGATTTTCTGGAAACATACTCTGTCGCTTTTACAAGGAAAACGGTTTCTTTCTCAAACAAAACTCTTATGAACTCACCAACTTAATTGTTGACACTTTTCAAAACTACTTGTATTCTCAGGAAATCAGTGAAACAGGAAAACCAACATCATTTTGAGGATGAGACGATAAATCATCCAACAGTTCATTTTGTCATCATAATGCAATTTATTTTGAAACATGTAAACTTATTCCATGGTGTAACCTTTTCAATTATATTTAGGATGGTTGTATTTACTTTGAGCACTATTATATTCGTTGTTGTGATACTATACATGAAGTCCTCCACCCCCGGACGTTTCCGCCATCCTTGGTTTGGGGGTGTGACAGATTGGTATCAGAGCATTGTTTATAGTGAACTAAGTATA